TAAGGGATCTAATCCCATCATGTGCCCCAACCCTCATGACTCTAAGCACCTCCCAAAGTCCCCAACTCCAAATGTCACCCCATTGGAGATTTGGGTACAACATATGGATTTGGAGGATATTACATTCATCCCACAGCACTGAACTTTAGGACACCATCTGTTTAAGAAATCCAGCAATGGAGAGCCTATTGATATGAAGTAAATGCCAAGCGCATGGAGATGCTGGAGGACATCAGGAGGAGGACAATACAGCTTCAGGAGGACAATACAGCCAGTCCCACCTGCAAGGGTGATGGCAACCATGAGCTCACACAGCCTCATTATATGAGGGGTCCATTTTCTGCCAGAATTAGGGGCAAAGGAACGCAGTGGAATTAGACCTGCCCACTCCATCCTGGGTGGAGTGGGCAAACAAACAAACAACAAAAACCAGGCTTTGAGAATTAAGTGGGCTTTGTTCATTCATTGTTCGTCAGACTTTTGAGAAAGGAAAGCACAATTAATAATGACCACAGGGTGACAGTGGGGGACAACTGGGCCTTTGGTCTCTGGAGGCCAGGCTTTCTCTTTTTTTTTTAATTTTTTATTTTTTACATCATTGTTGATTTTTAAACAATATTTGCTTCCCTCCTTCCCCTCAGATGTAGTTCCCATAGAATTTCCTTCCCCAATGCACCCATGCACCATCACCTCAGTCCCCTGTGCTCCTCCCTCCCTCCCTCTGATCCCTCTCCCGCCTCCTCCCCTGCAGTATGTCCCTGATTTATAACTGTCTGGTTTTGCTTTGTTGTGTTTTGTACTGTTATTATTTTTTTAGACAGATGTCTTATTTGGTTCCCCTATATTCCTGCTATAAGTGAACCCATCCGATATTTTTCTTTTTCCTTCTGGCTTATTTCACCGAGCATAATTCCTTCTAGCTCCATTCACGTTGCTGTGAATGGCACGAGTTTGTCTTTTTTGATTGCTGAATAACATTCCATTGTGCATATGTACCACATCTTCTTGATCCAGTCCTCTATTTTTGGGCATTTGGGTTGTTTCTGTGCAAAAGCAGAGCTGATCTCAGAGAAATGACCCAGAAGAGTCAATTGTGGTCCTCTTCCAGGCACCTGACGCTGGTTGTGGCATAATCTAAAATATTGCATTTACCTTAAATAAAAAAATACAAAGTTACCATCCATTTTAAGATGAATCCTGAACATTACACCTAAGTGCCTCTCCTCCAGGTATACAAGGAGCATTCCAGAAAATTCTGTGTACAGCTCAGACCTCCACGAGATTGGTGAGCTGCTATGGTGGGGGAACTCTGGACCACAGAAACTTCAGTCTATGTCTCAGGGCCCTTGGGGACCTTCTGTCTGGGGACCTGCTTTCAGACTTGCACTCTCATCTGAGAGGGAAAAAGAGCCCTGAACAAATTGTTAAGAGCCGTAGGGGAGCTGGAGCCTGCAGATATTCTAGGACACGGGCACGTTCCATCCTCTTGCTCACCTGTCATGTCCACATCCCAGGGCTCACCTCTAAAATAGTTGCTGTCCTCTGTGTGGATAATGTCCTTGGTCTGGAGATGACTGCCCAATTTTCAGGCACAAGCTGCTGGAGCCTCAGCCTGGGCCAGGCTCTCCTCCACAAGTCTCATCCCACCTCTAGGACTCTTCCCCAGACACATGCCCACAACTTCACCTGTCTCCACAGCGCCTACAGACTCCACAATCTAATAACCAAAGCCCCCCCTACCCCTAGCAGTGTGGACTTGTGCCATCCTGCGTGGGTGCCAGACACTCTACAGCAAGGAGGGGGGGTCTTGGGGGCACTAGCACAGATAAGGAATCCAAAGACTTTTCTTGAGACCAGGGGTTTGACCAGGTACTTGTGAAAGACTCAGCTACGAGGTCTCAGGCCCAACACAGCACAGCACATCTCCAGACACAAAATTTCACCTGCCCTTCAGGGATCAGCCCAAAGATGATGCTCCCAACTTCACTGCATTTAACCAGTCTTTGGGGGCAATGAAATTGATGAGAATGTTAAAGACAGGAGACTCCAATAATAAGAGGTTTCAGTAAATTAGGGTATATTTTACAGTGAATATATACACATTTTAAAAATTTAGAATGATGCCTTCAAATAATAGGAATTGATATAACACTATATTACTTAAAAATAATCTATAAAATATGACTCCCTTGTGAAGTTAGATAAAGAGATGATGGATGCATGGATGGATGGATGGATGGATGGATGGATGGATGTTCAAAACGAACAGCTATACATCAAAATAGTTCCCTGTGAGAAACAAGATTGGGGGGATTGTATCACCACATGCTGGTCATACAACCTAGAGGTCACATGTACATTCAGGCCTCGGCCTCCTGCTCTGTGAAGCCAGGATGGTGTCACTGCTGTAGGCCATCATTACATATTTGCATTAACATGCTTAGGAAAGCACACAGACCAGCTCCTACAGGAATGTCAGCTGCTCTATCTTCTTCATATAGTGCATAGTCATCATACCTGTAGTAAAGAAAAATAATTGAGGCCATCTAAGAAAATAAGGTGAAAATTTTGACTGGATCCTGTATCTGGGTGGATAAGTCACCAACATTCTGAATGATAGTTAAACACTAACTGAGCCCCAAAGACAGTCCAGCCCAATTCAGGAAGCCCAAGCAAGTAGGAACTGCCAGAAGTGTGGCTGGTATTCTGCACCACTCCTCACAGTGGGATTGGTAAATGCAAGAGATGCACAGAGAAGTACCCACCAGAGGCATGACCCTCTGTGCATGACATCTCCTCACACAAAGGTCTCCCTTCTCTCCAGAAGAGTCCCTCCTCCAGCCCTCATATCACAGCCCTGGGAGATTGGCCTGGAGCCTCAGGAGCTGCACAGTCCTGTGCCCATCGTGCCTTTGGATGATACCTTGGGTCAAAGCTGAAGAATCTCCAGCAGAACAAGGACCCAGATTCTTTCAGAACTGCCTATTGCCTGACCCAGTCTTGCCTATGAGAGCCCCTTCAGAAATGAAGAAAATCCTAGAAATTTTGACTGGGGCAACATAAAGGCATTTGAGTGAAAGGCACTCAGACAGACCAGCAGGTTCACCAGGAAGTTGGTCCTGGGCACACAACTGGCCTCTCAACTCCCAGCTTTCTCATCAGCAAAGGTGATGCCAGCATTATCTCACAAGTTTGCTACTAAATGAAAAAAATGTACAGGTGCTTAGCTCAGAGTCTGGAAAATAACCACAACGGATGGTCTCACTTACAAGAGCAATGTAGAGGATCCAAATAAGGGATCAAGGGGGAAAAAAGTAACTACAATAAAGTAAAAATAAAATCAACAGGCAACTATAAACCAGAGACATTATGCAGGTGGGGGAAGAAGGGAGTAGGATCAAAACAGGGGTGGGAAGAACACAAGGGACCATGGTGATAGTTCACAGGTGAATGGGGGTGGAAATTTCACAGGGACTATAACCAAGATGAAAATGCATACATTGTTCGGTTTTGGTATTAGCGTAATGTTGGCTTCATAGAACGTATTTGGTATTATCCCTTCCTTCTTAATTTTTTGAAAAATTTGTGAAGGATAGATACTAATTTGTTTCGGAATGTTTGGTAAAATTCATTTGTAAATCCATCAGGTCCTGGGCTTTTGTTTTTGGGGAGGTTTTTGATTACCATTTCAATTTCGCTGCTTGTAATTGGTCTGTTTAGGTGTTCTATTTCTTCTTTATCAAGCTTTGGGTGATTGTAGAGTTGTAGGAATTTGTCCGTCTCTTCAAGATTGTTGAACTTGTTTGCATGTAACTGTTCATAGTAGTTTCTGATTATTCTTTTGATTTCTGCTGTGTCTGTTGTGATTTCTCCTCTGTCATTTGTGATCCTATTTATTTGTGCTTTCTCCCGTTTTTCCTTTGTGAGCCTGGCTAGGGGTTTGTCTATTTTATTTATTTTTTCGAAGAACTAGCTTTTGGTTTCATTGATCTTTTGGATTTCTTTTTTAGTTTCTATTGCATTTATTTCTGCTTTGATTATTTCTTTTCTTCTGCTGGTTTTGGGGTTTTTTGTTGTTCTTTTTCTAGTTCTTTGTGAGCTTTGAGATTAGGTTGTTTCTTTCAGTTCTTTCTTGTTTCTTGATGTGAGCCTCTATTGCTATATATTTTTCTCTTGTTACAGCTTTTGCTGAATCCCATACATTTAGGAAATTGGTTTCCTCCTTGTCATTCAACTCAAAGTATTTTTTAATTTCTTCTTTGATCTCCTCATTAGTCCAGTGGTCTTCCAGTAGTGTGGATTTCAAACTCCATGAGGTAGAAGAGTTCCTTGCCTTCTTTTTATGGTTTATTTCTAGTTTGACGCCTTCATGGTCAGAGATGATGGTTGGTATGATTTCACTCTTTGTGTATCTGTTGATGTTTGTCTTGTGTCCCAGTATGTGATCGATCTTGGAGAATGATCCATGTGCACTTGAGAAAAATGTGTACTCAAATTTTTGGGGCGTTAAGTGTTCTATAGATGTCTGTTAAGCCCATGAGCTCTAGATCCTTATTTAGAGTTTTAGTGTCCTCACTTATTTTTTGTCTCGTTGATCTATCCATTGTTGATATTGGTGTGCTGAAGTCTCCTACTACATATGTGTTTTCTCTGATGTCTGTTTTCAGAGATGATAATAGTCATCTGATATATTTTGGTGCTCCTTCATTTAGTGAGAATATGTTAATGAGTGTTATTTCTTCTTGAAGTATTGTCCCCTTGATCATAATGTAGTGACCGTTGGGGTCTCTTTTTACATTTTTGAGTTTGAAATCTGTTTTATCTGATATAAGTATAGCTGTTCCTGCCTTCTTTTTTGGTCCATTTGCTTGTAGGATTGTTTTCCATCCTTTAACTTTGAGTCTATTTTTGTCTTTTGTAGTTAAATGTGTTTCCTGGAGACAGCAAAAGTTTGGGTTTTGTTTCTTAATCCAGCCTGTGACTCTGTGTCTTTTTATTGAAGAGTTTAGTCCATTTACATTTAGAGTTAATATTGATATGTTAGCATCTGTATTGCCATTGTGTTTGTCTGAATAGCCAAACCCTGAATAGCCAAAGCTCTCCTGAAAAAAAAAAAGAAGGGAATGGAGGTATCACACGCTCAGACTTCAAACTATACTACAAAGCCATAATCATCAAAACTGCATGGTATTGGAATAAGAACAGACACACGTACCAATGGAACCAAATAGAAAATCCAGAAATAAACCCACATATTTATGGTCAGCTAATCTTTGATAAAGGAGCAAAGAATATGCACTGGAGGGCCTCCCCTAGTGGTGCAGCAGTTGAGCGCTGGGCTGTGAAGCTTCCCACAGCCTCTGCAGTGCTGGTTTGATCTCTGGCCACCAGCAAGGGTCCCACATGGTGTGACAGACCTCTCTTGCTGTGCTCCTCTGCTCCGCTCAGCAGTGTATTTCATCAGTCTGCCTGTTCCATTCCCTGCTCTGGCTCTAGTGAACTCTCTCACCCTTCCATGTTTCTGCTTGCACCCAGTGCTTGTATATATAAATAAATAACTCTTAAAAAAAATAAAAAGAATATGCACTGGAGCAAAAAATATTTGTTCAATAAATGGTGCTGGGAAAACTGGGTCACTACATGCAAAAGAATGAAGCTTGACTACTACCTCACACCATGCACAAAAACCAACTCAAAATGGATTAAAGAACTAGACATAAGACCTGAAACCATAAAATACATAGAAGGAACTATAGGTGAAACACTACATAACATGCACCTCAAGGACATCTTATAGACACATCACCCAAAGCAGTGATAGTGTAGGCAAAGATAAGCAACTGGGACTACATCAAATTAAAGAGCTTCTGCACAGCAAAAGAGACAATAACAAAAACAAAGAGAAACCCCACAGACTAGGAGAACATTTTTGCACACAACACTAATGATAAAGGACTGATCACAAAAATCTACAAAGAGCTGATGAGACTCAACAAAAACAAAGAAAATAATCCAGTCAAAAAATGGGCAGAAGAGTTAAAAAGAAACTTCTCCAAAGAGGAAATGCAAATGGCCAACAGGCATATGAAAAATGTTCAACATCACTTGTAATCATTTCATCACTTGAAATGCAAATCAAAACTACAATGAGATACCATCTTACACCAGTGAGAATGGCACATATTAAAAAAACTAGCAACAACAAATGTTGGTGAGGTTGTGGAGAAAAAGGAACTCTCCTGCATTGCTGGTGGGAGTGCAGACTGGTCCAATCACTACAGAAAGCTGTGTGGAGATTTCTTGACCTACTAAAGATAGAGCTTCCATATAATCCAGCAATTCCACCGCTAGGTATTTACCCAAAGGACACAGAAACATCAATTCCAAAGGGCACCTGCACCCCTATGTTTATAGCAGCACTATTTACGATAGCTAAGCTTTGGAAACAACCCAAATGCCCAAAAATAGATGACTGGATCAAGAATATGTGGTACATATACACCATGGAATATTACTCAGCATTCAAAAATGATAAACACATGCAGTTTGCAGCAACATGGATGGAGCTGAAAGGGATCATGCTCAGTGAAATAAGCCAGAAAGAAAAAGAAAAATATCGGATGGTCTCACTCATAGCAGGAATTTAGAAAACCTAAATAAGGGACCAGGAAAAAAACTAATTAATACAAAGTAAAAATCAAATCAACAAGCAACTATAAACCAGAGACACATGGGGGGGGTGGAAGGGCGGGGAGAGGAAGGACTAGGGTCAAAATAAGGGGGTGTGTGCAATTGTATGGGGAATATAACCAAAATGAAAATGCATACATTGTGCAAAAATGAAAACTGATGTAAGAATCATATAAAATAAAAAAAGAAAATGCATACATTGCACAAAAGTGAAAAATGATGTAAAAACATATTAAATAAAATATTTTAAATTAAATAAATAAATAAGCAGATATAAAATTGCAAGCATTTTAGATTTACTCTGAGTTTGAGAACTTCATTAGTGGCAGGAGTAGCCTGAGTGGACACAGGAAGCAGCTTGAGACGAGCAGTGGCCTTCCCCCAGATGGAGTCAGCCTGGCATGCTCTTAGAAAAATATACTTGGTGTTGCTTTGCAGTTCTGAAAACAGTATGATTGGGGTCTTCATCGAAACAAAAACCCTCCCAAGTCAGGGCCCTGCATGCGGTTGAGAGGAACCAAAAGAAACGGGAAATGAGAGTCTAAACCCCAAAGCCACACACCCAAAGGTAAGGAGAAGTCAGGAAGCTTGCTTCAAAGGAAAGCAGTGCAGATGAGGGAAATGGCAGTGTTGTGCTCTGAGCAGGGTCTCCTGCGAGTGGGAGGAAAGCCTGGCAGCCCCTCTCGGAGGGAACAATGGGTGGGGCCACATCCTAAGCCACTGTCCATGTCCTTGATGACACCTTTTCTCCAGGCCTGGGCTCTTGATTGAGGATCTGACTGTTCCTGGGGGTGCCTCTGACTCCCATTAAGACACCCCTTGACCAGCACAGGTGACTGACCACACTGAGCCCTAAGCCCCCTGCCTGCCCTCAGTACTCTCCCCATTGATGAAGCCCTGGTACAGCTCGCCAGTGCTGTCCTCCAGCACATGCCCTGTGCTCCCCGCCCATGCTGGGGATGTGCGCATGCCTTGCTCTGTTCTCTGTGGCTCCACTCATCATCGCCCTAACTCTGCAGAGCTCTTCCTGACTCCCCACGTTTCCTGTTCCTGCCCTACCTCCATTATCAATAAAAACCTACAACCCAAAAATTGACAGAGACTGAGTAATTAAAATAGTAAAAGTCATGTGCATAGGGAATTGCTTGTTAAAGTGAGGAGGGACCACTTTTTGTCCCATGACTCCATCTCCCATAGGCCCCCAGAGAGAACATGAGGGTGCTCCAGAATACAAGAAAGCCCATTTTCCTAAACTCTCATCTGACTGAAAAGTTTCCAGATTCCTGGTTTCTGAAAGTCAGAATGGAGGTAAACATTGGAGGGAGGGTTTAGGAGCAACCAGATGCTTCCCGATCCAGAAGAGCCAAGTGCAAAAGAGAGACGGAAGATGAAATGCATTACCTTTACTATAAAATCTTACTCTGAACAGAATGCCTTACCTTTTATGGAACACCAACCCATTCCCGAAGTGCTCGGCTATCCAGTCTTGGTTTTTGCTGTTCTGCTGGCTCTGGCGCATGCATCTGTGACCTTGGAACGGGAGCAGATGCTCAGCCAGGCTTTATCACAGCAGGTGATGAGTGGAGACAAGATGTTCCGACTTCATACATTTGCCAGTGTGATGGGACTATCAAGAACACTGTTTGGGGCCTCTCTGGTGGCTCAAGGGGGTAAAACACAATCTATGAAGCTATCCACAGCCATTGCAGCATGAGTTCGATCACGGCCGGCCAGGGAGCAAACCACATGGCGCAGCAGACCTCCCCTGACTTGCCCGCTGCTCCCCTCAGCAGTTTATTTCCGTCAATCTGCTTGTTCCCACTCTGTCTCTGGTGAATCCTCTCATCCTTCAAACCTCTGGCCTGTACCCCAGTTCTTGTATGCATAAATAAATAAGTAAATCCTTTGGGAAAAAAAAGAATACTGCTGCCCCTTGGGAAGTGGACTTCTGCTGTGGTCAACACTCCCTGGCCCAGGCCCAGAACTGCCAGCCTGCTCCAAGCCCTTCCATTGGTCCAGGAAGAGACTTTGAAACAGCAAATGGGCACTGCCCCAGAGTTTGGAGGGTTGGGGCAGTGAAAGCACTTTCATCAGAAAAGGAACTAACTGACTCGGTAAATCCTTTGTCTCAACATGAATTCAGTGGATCCTGTCAGAGTAAAGAACTATATTCCAGTGTTTAAAAATAAATAAGGGCCTCCCTGGTGGCACAAGGGGTTAAGACGCAGCCTATGACACTGTCCGCAGCCTCTGCAATGCGGGTTCGATCCCGGCCAGCCATGCAGCTACCCACATGGTGCAGCAAACCTCTCCTGTCTCGCCTGCTGCTCCCCTCAGCAGTGCACTTTAGTCAATCTGCCTATTCTGTTCCCCATTCTGTCTCTGGTGAATCCTCTCACCCCCACACCTCTGGCCTGTACCCAGCTCTTCCATACATAAATAAATAAATCTTTAAAAAGAAATAAAAATAAAAATAAAAATAAATAAATAAGGATCTAGGTAGAAAGCTAAAGCTGAAAGTCATGTCCAATCTGTCTGAAAACTGTACTACACACCTTCTTTTTGGCCACAGAACTCCAAGATCCAGCCTTCCTGAAAGCCCTGCAGTGGTGCAGTTACAGCCTCCATCCCTGCTGATGGGCACAGCAAAGTGATGCACAAAGAGGAGGTTCTGGGAGCTATTCCCACCCACTGAAATAATACCCTCCATCTCTGAAACACAAGCAGCATTATAAACCAATGTTACCTTAATTTAAAAAAAAAAAAAGATAAAGAATAAGGAGTACTTAGCAAAAAAAAACACCCTCCAACACACACAAGACCAGAAACTGCCTCCCTAGTCCCAGGGGCCACCTGAGGCCCTAGACCACCCACTACATCCGCCTCCTGTTGACCTAAGTTACCTACATTGAATCTCTTTCTTAAGTTTCAATCTAATAAAAATGCATTTATTCTTCAAAAACTTTTATAATAAGAAGAGTAGCTGACTAGCAACAAATCTTGGCCTTTAGAACTTAAAAGCACAGAGCACAGGTCAGAGCGGGCATTGCTGGCATCGCACTATGGCAAGGTGTTCAGCAGGATAGCCCGGGGAGGCCAAAAACAGTTAATATCTCATAAAATCTATGTTCACAGGAGCTAATTACTCTCTAGAAATATCTACTTTGATATAAAAATGATTATATATAATTATAGTTATTACCTTTTTCTCTACTTAGGAGATTTCTGTGACTTCCTGCTTCTGGTGAAGTAAAAAATTCCCCTACAGATGGTTTCCTGGTGGAATTTTTTTAGTCACTGCAGATAGCACTCCTCAGAACTGCAGAAAACAGGGCCGGGCTGTAGGCACTCACCAGATATTTAGCAGATATTTTATTTTATAAGCAAAATTGGCAGTTTTCCAAGAATAGTGCTTAGGAGCCCTGTGGGGGAATCTTACAAAGGAAGCAGATGCTTGTCTTCAACCATATCAGACGAACAGAGAGAAAATGCCAACTTCTAATGGCAATGGGGTGAAGAGAAGGCTCCATTCCTCTGAACAAAGAAGAGGCACTAAAACGCCTATATGACCAACTTTTCAATGGATTCCATCAATGGCAATAACATGTTAACATTACCATATAGATTAACATAGTGATGGCTTCTGAAAAATTTCAACACCATAGATTACTAACTATAGAATAACTTTTTCTCAGAAAACTTTTTCTCTTCTTAATATGGTTGGCTGGTGATGGCTTCTGAAAAATTTCAACACCATAGATTACTAACTATAGAATAACTTTTTCTCAGAAAACTTTTTCTCTTCTTAATATGGTTGGCTGGTGATGGCTTCTGAAAAATTTCAACACCATAGATTACTAACTATAGAATAACTTTTTCTCAGAAAACTTTTTCTCTTCTTAATATGGTTGGCTGGGTATTTCTGGGTCATCACAATGTCTTTTATGACATCGTGGCTTGTCACACAGGTAGAAACTCCATGGTGGAGAGGACCCTGGCTGTAAGGTAAAAATCAGAGATCTAGACAGACCAGGGAGACAAGCCCCTATTCCGAGGATCATAGCTGTTAGGAACCATCCTTTACAGGCTGTGTAAGTCCAGGGTATCCCAGAATTCACAGAATAAAAACCCTCTGCAGAGCTGATGTCCAGCAGGTGATGTGGGTTCAAAACTCCAGGGAAAAGGCTCTCTCCAAAAGGAAGCCACATCAGGTCTTTCTGCATGAACACAGACATGTGGATAGTATGACTTCACTTCAGGGAAGACTGTATATCCAGACCTGGTCCAACTAGAGAAGAACTTCATCTCTCAGACCCACACAGAAGCTTTCGAGCTTGAGCACCTCAGATACTGTATGGCACCAGCTGATTGGAGGCTGACACACAAGGACTCCCATGGGGACCAGAACCCAGACCTGGCACAGATGAGCAGGAGCTCAAAGTTGTAATGTAAAAACACTGCAGAGTCCCCACACACAGGTTGGAGTGGAGGAGGGAAGGAAGGGCGGGATGTGGCCATGCATCAGTGCCCTGCTCAGATACCTCCACCACCTGGGCCTGCCCGGATCCCCACCTGGGCACCAGGTCTCACTCCATCAACTAAGTGAACTGCTCCCAACAAGAAGTCCCCAAATAGTTGCCTGTTGATTTTGATTTTTACTTTATTATAATTAGTTTTTTTCCTGATCCCTTATTTGGGTCTTCTAAATTCCTGTTATAGGTAAGACCATCCAGAGACATACTACAGGGGGAGAGTAGAGAGTAGGATCAAAAGAAGGGTGGTGGGAATTGTATGGGGACTATAACCAAGATGAAAATGCACACATTATACAAAAATGAAAAATGATGTATAAAATATATAAAATAAAATTAAAAAAAGAAGTCCCCAAATACTCCTACCATGTTTTCTGGGCAAAAGGAGTCACCCTGAAAATATTCAGACCATCTCCATATGGTGCCTCACTTATTGAAGTTGAGGTGTGAGGTGTGACTAGGGCCTCCATGTACTTGGCTAAAAGTCAAGCTCTGAGGGTTTGCTATAAAGTCACATATGGATTTGGGATTTGTCCAATTACCTTTCTTCACACAGTGAACTAGCACCGAAAATCTCACAAATAGGGAACTCAGGCCCTTCCAAAGCCCTGCCACTTTCTTCTGCATTTCAACATTTTCTAAATGTTGTTCTAAAGTGCAGACTGCACTTCTTGGTAGTCCCTCAGCTGTGTCTGCTGGAAATTTTTTTTTGATATTTATTTTTATTTATACAAGAGCTGGGGTACAGGCCAGAGTCACAGGAGGGTGAAAGGATTCACCAGAGACAGAGAGGGTTGCAGAACAGGCAGACGACCAAAATACACTGCTGAGGGGAGCAGCGGGTGAGACAGGAGAGGTCTGCCTCGCCATGTGGGATTCTCCCTGGCTGGCCAGGAATCAAACCGGCGCTGCGGAGGCTGTGGACAGCTTCACAGTGCTGAGTTCAACAAGCTGCGCCACCAGGGAGGCCCTCTGCTGGAAATGTTGCAATAATTATTTGTTAGCAGTTTGCTAGAAATCTTCCTTGCTCTTACTCTGTATTTTATATATTCCCTATGAATAATTTTCATGCTCAGGATCTCCAACTTGTGAATCTAACAATGACCATGTTTAAATAAATCTCAAATTACCCTGTGACTGGAGCAAAAGGGGGCTGACAATCATAACTCTCCACACACGGTTTATTTTTCCTAACTCCCTCACTACAATTAACAGAAATTATTTCCTTCATTCCAATAAAATACAGCCAATCTTTGGTCATTAAAGTATTTGGCAATTTGAATTGATGGTTGCACCTTTGCCAGTCTTGAAAATCATTGCCTCATTGTGGCTTTAGCTATTAATTTGTTAAACTAAAAACAAATGATATCAGAAAATGTGGATTTGTATCTAAATCATATATGCATACACATCCACACATGAAAGAACACACAAGCACTCACACTTGTGCACATGCACAAATTCACACACAAACATACATTCCTGGAGGAAGGCTGTTCCAAATGGAATAGGGAAAGTATCCCAGATCAGAAATCACTTCCACTGTCTCATCAAGAAATGGACTCTTGTCCAACAACAAATATTCTGACTCATCAAAAGCAGCTAATGTGCCACATGACAAAAGAAGTTTTTATTTTTTTAAGTCTCTGGTTTCACATATTTACCAGAACATCTTCCTCTTCTATTCTCTGAGGCTTTTTCTCAACCCCAGGTTCTAGGGTCAGGCTGGACTTCACCTGCAAGACATGTTTTACTCCAGCAAATCCAGAATGACTGGATCCTCCTAAGCACACAGGGTTGTGACTCCCGTGCATTTGCCAAAAGCAGAGCGCCCTGGAGAGTCCCTCTCATCCTTCTGCAGGTGCGCTTGGCTAAATGAAATGCCTGCAGGTCAACACAAATTATTGAAATAATAATCAAGGGAATACGAATGGATGACTTGCCGTTGTGTTAGGCACTGTAATTTTGCTCTCTCTATACTGCCAGTTTTAGATACCCCTGGAGTTTAGAGAAATGGCTCTGTGATCTGAAAATGCTGCAGTTTCCCCACCCCATGCCCAGGCTTCAAGCAGGACCTTAGGCAGTTCCCACAAAGGCAAGCGGGGAGAGGCCCTTAGCACCATTGCTCACATACGCCCTCTACACTGAGGAGCGAGCTTTCCCAGTCAGGGTCCATGTCACCCACTCAGGAGCTACTCTGTCTCCCCTGTGAGGGGCAATTAAGAAGGGGCTGAGGTGATGGTGCACAGGTGCATTGGTGAAGGAAATTCTATGGGGACTACACCTGGTGGGGAGGGGAAGCAAACATTGCTTAAAAATAAACGATGATATAAAAAAACATATAAATTAAAAAAAATAATAAAAAAGGACCATCTCAAAAAGCAGGACATCAGACTTCATAAATAACCCTCCCAAGCAGTTTTACTAGTGTCCCATGGCCTCAATCACATGCCTTCTAAGACCTCGCCAGGTTTGGTCCTCTAAATATCTGGATTCCTCCCTTTTATCCTACATCCTCAAACTCAGGAAGTAGCTGCACAGTTCACTCATTAAGTGAATAAGGTCCTCTGCATTGAGAGATATTTGAAATTTCATTGAAAAAATAAATGACAACATAACCATGCAGCGAAGAAGCACATGCTCGTAATAAAAGGAAAGCAAATTCCCAATATACAGTTACAATTTCTCACCAATCAGATTGGCCAGGAGATTGGCCACCTATAGCAGTGCCAAGACTACAAGAAATGATTTGTCCCACCTACCTAGGGGTAATGCAAGTGGCACAATTCTAATGGAGGGGAATTTAGTTAGGAACCATGAATCTGCCCCTTGACCTAGCAATGCCAAAAATATTCTAACCAAAACTTTAAAACTTTAAAAGATACACGCTCAGAGTTACTCATAGCACACCTAACAAAAATACAAAAAAAAAGGGGGGGGGCAGAAGAAAAAAAAGAATGCCAAAGCCTCAAAACAATCCAAATGTATATCAATAGGGATTATTTAGAAAAGACACCACACACTCATTTGACGGATTGCGATGCATCTGCAAAGATAAATGAGATATCTGCTTCATAGTGGAGCAGAGAACATGGTAAGAGGTCACCGTATACATCAAAACAATGAGAAAAGAAGATAAATTGCATTTTACTTAACCCCCATCAGAGAGATAATCAGGTGCATAGAAGGTAAATTAACTAAATTACAGAAGGGTTCTAATTCCCTTCCCAGATGGCAAAAGACCAATGACCATTTTCCTCCTTGAGGTCATCACAAAGCAGTAGATGAGCAAGTTTGCTGGAATGAGATTTAATGGGCTGAAATGTTGGGGTGGAATCTGGAGAGCCCTAAACATGGAATTAGCACAAATTTCCTCCCAATTCTCTCATGTTAGGCTACAAAGAGGAGAGAGGGAGATCTCCATAGTTTCAAGGTAGTTAGAGCCAAAGCTGCTACTACAGAGAAGAATCTAGTGTCACCTGCAAGATGCTTGAAACAGAAATAAAGCCACCCATATATACACAACTTATCTTGGACAAAGGTGCAAAGAATATGCAATGGAACAAGGACAATTTGTTCAATAAATGGTGCTGGGAAAACTGCACCACCATAAGCAAAAGAATGAAACTTGACCACTACCTCACACCATACACAAAAATCAACTCAAAATGTATAAAAGAACTGAACATAAGACCTGAAATCATAAAATACATAGGAGAAAATATAGGTAAAACACTACAAGATATACATCTCAAAAACATCTTTAAAGACTTATCCCCCAAAGCAAAGAAAGTAAAGGAAAAGATAAACAGCTGGGATTACATCAAACTAAAAAGCTTCTGTACAGCTTCTGTACTGATTGGGAGAAAATTTTTGCACTTCATATAGCTGATAAGGGACTGATCACAAAGATATACAAAGAACTCACACAACTCAACAAAAACAAAGTGAACAATCCACTCAAAAAAATGGGCAGAAGAACCTAAAAGACACTTCTCCAAAGAGGAAATGCAAATGGCCAACAGGCAGATGAAAAAATGTTCAACATCCCTCATAATCAGGAAAATGCAAATTAAAACCATAATAAGATACCACCTTATACCAGTAAGAATAGCACATATTTAAAAAAATTAGCAACAACAAATGTTGGTGAGGATGTGGTAAAAAGAAACACTACTACTCTGCTGGTGGGAATGTAAACTTGTCCAACCACTATGGAAAGCTGTCTGGAGGTTCATCAGTCTACTAAAAATGGAGCTATTATATGACCCAGCAAATCCATTCCTAGGGATCTAACCAAAGGACACAAAAACATTGATTCAAAAGAACCCCTGTACCCCTATGTTTATTGTATCACTATTGAATATAAGTAAAACCTGAAAACAACCCAAATGCCCCAAAATAGATGACTGGATCAAGAAAATGTGGTATATATATATATATATATATATATATATATATATATATATACTCACAGTGGAATACTATT